GGTAACATACCAGAATGCTCAAGACTGACCATGCCTCAGTCCCAGTCTGCTTCCCAGGTCAAGAAGGAACCATGCATGGCCGTTCTTAAGGGAGGAAATTCCATTCTGTTGGGCTAATCTTTTAGTCATCGAGATTTATTTTGAATATAATTTAAAGTATAAATATCTGGTGTTTGTCTACATGAGGATTGCTCAACCTAGACAATATCGATACTTTTTGGCCAGATCACTTTCTGTTGAGGAGAACTCTTTTATGTATTGTTGGTGTGTAGCAGTGTCCCTGGCCTCTGGTTAACTCGCTCTGCCTATGTCCTCCATGTACCTCCAATCTATTTGACACAGACCTTTCAGGTTAATATTTCCAAACAATACCTCTAACTTAGTGGTTCTCAATAGAAAGCAACCTCCCCTCACACCAGGGGACATTTGGCAATGTCTGGTGACATTTTTGGTTTTCACAACTTGATGGGGAGGAAGAATAAGCTGCTATAGATATATAGTGGGTAGAAGCCAGGGTGTTACAGTGTACAGGAAAACCGCCCCCTGCCCCCGCCCTCACACCAAATAAATGTCCAACCCCAAATGTCAATAGCGCCAAGGTTGAGAAACCTTGCTCTAGCATATCGTTCCCTGCTCAGAAACTTTCTATTGTTTCACACTGCTTGTCAGAAAGATGACAGATTTCATGACCTCTCCTGATGTAGATTCAGTTTATTATTTTGTCAACTATAGCTCCTTTTTGGAAACAACTCTGAATGTTATGCTTTTTCTGAAACATGTCATGTGCTTTCTCACTCACATAACTTGGCTCACGCCAACCACTCCCTCTGCCTAGAATGCCCACTTCCCACTACTAAAGCCAAGTTGAAATGTAGCATCTACAAAGGCTTACCTGAGCTCAAATTTTCCCAGCTGCAAATAATTCCTCCTTCCCTGGATATTCCTATAGTATTTTACACATATATCTCTTAAAGCACTTATCATAGTCATACTACAATAGAAAATATGAACTGGAAGGGGCTTTTAGAATTCTCTTCATTAAATCCTTCCACTAAAAACAAAGGAAACGGAGGTCCAGAAAGGTGAAGTAATTGGCTGAAGGCATTGTATATTCTCGTAAGACTTGGACTGTAGTAATTTGTGTTCTTGGTTTCATTCTCCTAGCATGGTTGAAATGGATGATCATGAACTTTGAGTTAGGTCTGGCAGTCAAATTGCAATTCTGACACTTATAAGTGGGCCAAGTCATCTACCTTTCTGAAACTCAGTTCCCTGAGCAGTAAATGGAAATAATCATGGCTATTATGAGAATTAAATGAGATTGTGTATTAAAAATGCCTAGCATATAGTTGGTACTCAATACACGTTTGTCAGATGAAAATAAGGATCAATAGTACTTTAAATAATGGGATTTAGGAATGGATGATGGTCCACAGGACTTCACTAAAAGGCGACAAGAGGTAAAATATGGCAACTCATTGCCACCTGCTCCCTACTTTCGCACCCTTCCATAGAAGGTTTCCTCAGTGAGCCATCAGACCAGCATGCAAGTTTTCTGTGGAGTAACTGAGTGCTTACGGTGGCTCTCCAAATCGTAAGGTAGTTCTTAAAAGGTCTGCTTTTTCTTTTTCTTTCACAATGCCAATGATATAATCTCTTCCTTTCCTCCGGTAGATAACAGGTAGAGTTGTGGGGAGGGATGTGGATGTAAGAGATATTTCCCCTCTTTCTCCTTAGTTTCCTTTATGACAGCAGACTGGGGCTTAGATGCCTTCAGAGGTCTAACAGGAATCTCTGTGAGAGGGAATTCACAAGGCACTTGGGATGGCAATAGGAACACTTTAGTGTTGGCTTCTAGCCCAGTGATACCTGGTTCTGGCTTCAGTGAGGTTTATTGGGGCCTTTCTAGCCAGTTCTTCACTCTGGAGCTGACCACTCTGTCAGCTTTCTTCCTGCCTAGGGCTTTGGGGTAATGGCATGCTATGCATTTATTCTCTTCATTCAGAGAAATGAGTCTTTCCCTGATCCCAGGGTGCATGTACGTAATAGAAATATCCTTGCTCCTTGAATGAGGGGATGATCTGACAGGCAGCTGAAGAAACAAAATGAGACTTTTGATGTCTTACCTAGACTAGATTTGGAATAAGCTGGGGAGGATGAAGTTGCTTGACAATGGGCCCACCTCAGAGCTGGCTCCTGTCCGCTCTGCCAGGTGAGTACAGGAGATTTTTGTTGGAGGGGGTTAGAAGAGAAGCTCAGGTGAGTCTATTACAACTTGACTTAGGAACCCCCCTCCTTAGGGCTTACAGGTCAAGGGTCCTGTAAGAGGAAAATGCTTTTGGGTGTGATGAAAAAACCTGCAGAGGGAAGAGCACTGAATTGGGAGTAAAGAGACTTGGTCTGGATTTCTGCTTCTACCTCTCTGTTTCTGAGAGAGTTCCCAGGGCTATCACCAGAGCCTCATATTATGGTTTGTGAAGTAGATGCAATAAAATCTGCAGTCTTCCTCCCAGTGATGGCAGAAGTTGAAGGTTTTCCAGTCTCTGGAGTTTTCACTCTGTGAATTCCAAAACATTGTTCAAACCTTCCTACTTTGTGTATGTGAACCAGGGAGTCTGTGTGTGCATGAGTGTGTGTATGTGTGTGTGTGTGTGTGTGTCTAGGGGGAGGAACAACAAGGCGGGGATACAGCTCTATAGGCTGCTTGTCTCTATACGTTATTCTTCAGTTTTCTGTCTTCAGAGTCCACCATTGTTGTTCTTGTTTAAACTACTTTGGAGATAGTTGAGCTCCTTTCTCAAAGGAGGCTTCTCTTTCAAATTTGCTCTTTCTGAGGTTTGTACTATTTTCATAGCTGCTGTAATTGGCTTTCACCATAATTTTGGGTGGGACCACAGGAGTTCAGGAACTTATATGACTGCCCAGGTCTATTGGTAAAGTACTATTTCCTCTGAAGGACTGTAACACTTGACACTGGTCATAAGAGGGGATAAGGGATCCATTCACCCATTCAAGTAGAGAGGAAGGATACATGGTATTGTGAGAGCCTCTGATGAGGGAAGTTGACTTAGGAAGGTCAGAGAAAACTTCACTGAAGAATTAATGATTATGTTTAGTTCTGAGGAATTATTAAACATTGACTAAGTAAAGAAAGTAGTGGAAAGTATATGCATACACGTGCACATGCAGTAAATATTTTAGGCAAAGGAAACAGAACGTGCATAAGCCTTAAGGTACAAGGGATCAGGGCACATTCCAGAAAGAAATAAAATACTATATTCACTGGTTTTTCAACTTTAATTCAAAATTTAAGCCATAGTTTTAGGTGTTAAGGGTTGAAAATGCCAATGTACTCAGCTTTGAAGTACTGTTAGGCTAAATCACACATACTGAAATGGTACCCACTGTGGATAGAGCACATGAAAGTATAATCACAAAAAGAAACAAATGCATCTGTACTATTGAGCCAACAATCTGGAAGAGAGGAAAGGACAGATAAAACTGTGAAATGTAAATCTTTCTCCCAATATTTTGTCCAGCAGGTACATCTGTCTATGGAGTATACAGATACATTCCTGGAGGGCTACTTGGTTGAGGTGATATGAGCCCAATGGAGTGAATTAAGGGAGGGCTTCAAGCAGGTGCCAAGTTCTGGATTGTGCTCTGAGGAAGCTATAGATTGGTGAATAAGAGGAGAGAAGATGTTTCTGGCAGGATAAACAGCATGAGACATGACTTGGTGGTAGACTATTTTATTTCTGAGATGGGAAATGTGGGGATAAATTAGGCTGGCCTGAATGGGAAAGGAAAGCAGCCAAGCTTGGGGCCATCTTAGACTCTTTCTAGGACACACCAACTAATCAATTAAAAGCAGTAAAATTAAGGTTCACCAGGTACTATATGAAAATAAATAATTGGTTATTTGAATTTAGCTTTTTAAAAAATAAATTGTCATACAGATCAATCTTGACATCTTCCACTGACTGTAGTCAGGATTAACTTTCTTCAAGATTTAGAGGTCGGTGAAAGTTGCTGCCTATCTTTCTTTTCAGGGCCTTTCTGCAATTTTGTATCACTGGGACCCTACCATAATTTATGGAGTCCTGTTTGCTTAACTTTATTTTAGCAGTTAGTTACTTTGATACCTTGTAAAGTAATAGCTCTTATTTCTCTAGGCATTGACATTTTCTGGAGGATGGCTGAAAAGTCACAAATCTTTCAGACAAAGGAACCAGTCTCTGATGGAATAGCAGGTGGTGGGGTGGATGTCTTTGAGCAGGTGACCTTTCCCGTTACCTTATAAAGAGAAAACTACCTACTTCAAAGCTTGGCTTTGATTCCAATGCATATTTCTTTCCTGGGTGTTGAAAGGCTAGGTTAGGCTAGAGACATGATGTAAGAGGGAGTGGATTTTATTTTACCTGTCTAATCCCCTGATGATGCAGGCAGCCCATGTGCAGTATTCTATCACTGTGGTTAAAAGTGTGGAGTTTTGAAGTCATGATGAGTCAGCATTTATATCTTTAGCACTTGCCAGCTGTGTGGTTTTCAGTTGCCTCATCTTCTGTGCTGTGTGTGCCTCAGTTGCTTTGTCCTTTGTAAAACAGGGAAAATAAGAGTACCTATCTCATATAATTACTGTAATGATCAGTGAGGTATATGTTTAAAGAGCTTAGCATAATGCTTGACATCTTATCAAGTTGTTCTTGTCATCATTGTCATTAGCATTGCCACCCATACCACCCCCAGGCTCCTACTCTAACAAAAAAATAAAATCTTACAACCTCTTGCTAAAAAGCAAAGATCAGCAGTCAGCACAGAAGGAAAGAAAAAAATAGGAAGCCCAGGGGCATTCACTGTTTCCTATTCTCACCCTAACCATAGCATCTCAAAGAGAATGTATAAAAACTATACTTTCTGGAATCATTTCTATAGTTCATTACCAAAGAGAAAATATGAAAAGACAACCCAATCCTCATTCTCTGTCCCTGTTCTCACAGGTACGTGTCGGCTTGGCTGGGCCTATTACTGTGCTGGAGGTGGAGCAGCTGCAGCCATGTTGATCTGCACCTGGCTCTCTTGCTTTGCTGGAAGAAACCCCAAGCCTGTCATATTGGTGGAGAGCATCATGAGGAATACCAATTCTTATGCTATGGAGCTTAACCATTGCCTCAAACCTTGAGCTTTGAAAGAAGATTGGAGAGGGTGGGAAATGGGAGGAGAGAGCCCTGAAAAGAGGTACTAAGGATTAGGCCATTTGTCATCTAACTGTCATTAGTGTAGCCTAGTGTTTGCATGTTTTTTAAACTAATTGTCATTCATTTTCACTTATCTTTTAGCCAGTAGGTCACTGGCTGTTTATAAAATTCATCTAGAGGAAACATTCTCAGACATTCACCCAACTGGCAAGTACCTGCTAACCCGAAGACCCAAAGTACTCCTTTATGCAAAACAGGATCCAAAGCTAAGGCTGGGTAAGAATAGCTGTGCAGGGAGGGAGCACAGAATGGGCAGGGCTGGTTCCTACCACTCCATTCACACAGTTCATTCCCAAGTATTTATTGCCACCCCCAAACATCTCTGGAGTACTACTGCTCAATTTTTGTGTCATTATCAGGAGAATACCTTGACTCTTCCTTTTTTTCTTTCCTGCTTTTCTTTTTCCCCCTGGTTGTGGGGAAGCTTCGGGAGAGGGGGGAGGGTGACTCACAGTGAGGAAAACGTTAGTCAAGGATACTTGCATTTAGTCTGGAGCCCCTTCCTCATTATGCTTTAGAATATTCATAGGCATTCATTTTGTGTTCTGACTGGGTGATGAGCAAAAAAATATATAGTAGCAAATATTCCCTAATCTTTTAGAGATACAGAAATGGCATTCATCAAATGTACTGAGAATAGACTAGCATTTGTGGGGCACTCAATCAATTTAAATTCATGGTGACAGTGACAAGGATGTTTCTGTTAGATACTTATTGAAATTTCTATCAGAGATCATTTTTATTGACTAGGAAATCCACGGTGGCCTTTTACCCCCAATAGTCACTCCTAATGTGACATAAGTTCATCTGCCTGTTTCAAAGACTGTTCGTCAAATGATCTCTCCTTCATCTGGGGCGAGTTAGCCACAAAAGAACACAGCACTGATGTCACCTAGGGCTGATGTATTTTTAGGCCTGGACTCCATCCCATCTGTGCTCAAGGTTGACGGATGGTGTAGAAGAACTTGGTGTCTCCTGGGGGCAGAGTTTGTCTCGCTCCTCCCCCCCCCCCAACCCCAGTTAATTCAGGTCAGCTCTATTGTTCCATAACTACAGCTTTAGGGAATGGGGAGGGCCTGTGATTCAAAAGGCCAGCTCATCTGTTTCTATTCTTAATAATTCCAGCATGTTTTTGGTACAGCCCTACCTAGAGGGATAGAAATAGAAAAAAACTGGCTTCATAAGTTACATTCCATCTCATGAGAGGTCAGAATTCTTCCATTGGCTTTACATGGGTAAGTGAATTTAAATGCTTCCCCCATCTATAGTTGATTCATTACTGAGTCACTCATTCAGAAAACATTTCTTGAGTATCTTACTGTGTGACACATTCTGTGCTAAGTTCTGGGGATAAAAGGACAAAGACAGTTTCTCACCTTAAAAGGGATAGTGGTGAGGTATTGAGAGACATGTCGACAAGTACTTGTCAGTGTGTTAAGTGCTAGAAAAGTGAAGAAGAACAGCTAAATGATCACAGAGAAGTCATTAAACCAACCTGGCATGAAGGGGTTCATGGGAAAGCATCCTAGCAAAGAAGATACCTAAGATGGGTCCGAAAGATGAATAGCAGGAGCTTTGTCAGCAAAGGCAAAGAGTGCACAAGACAAGCAATGATGGCAGCCAAGTAATGGAGACAGCATTAGAATGACAGATGGGTGTAAAAAGAGGTGGCAAAAGCTGAAGTTGAAAAGGGAAGCAGTAGCCAGATTCCGTGGGACCTTTTACTCCATAATAAGGCATTTGAATTTTCTCCTGAAGAAGGGTCATTGAAAGGGAAGTGACATGAACAAACTTGTAGCTTTCAAAGATAAGTTTGGCTAAAGTGAGGAGAATGAAAGAAAAGAAGAGGAGAACTAGAGATATTTCAATAATCTAAGTATAAAACAATCAAGGCCTGGAGGAAGGTAGTGACTGTGAGGCCGGAGAAGACGGATGAATTTGAAAGAAGATATTTAGGAAGTACATTGTCTAATGGATATGTGTAGGTATTGGCAAGTGAAAATTTTGGGATGACCACTCTGGTATGTGAGCGACTCCTATCATCAAGATGGCAAATGCAAGATGAATAACAGGTGGTAGGGAACTGGTGATTGAATTCATTTCAAGTATTATCTCCCTCATGGAACTGCATTAAGTGTTTAAGGTAAGGCCAACTTGAACATACCTCACTGGGAAGGAAGCAATGTAATGTGTTTGCAGCACCTCTTTTCTTTAAGAAAGATGACTAAGAACAGCTAAAACAAAAATGCAACTAGCTTAAACCTCAATTTTATTGTGTCGGCACAATAATGTAACTTTAATTTAGGAAGGCCCACGGTATAGAGAATATGTCAAATATTTGAGAAAAGGCAGATAGCTCACTTCAGAAAAGATAGTTGGATCAGGCGATCTCTCTTCTCGGGCTAGGCAACCTTCTGGATTTCTGTAGGATAGACTTTGTCAAAGTGAGTGTATAAGTCAGAATCCTGCCAAGAAACAGACGGTATACTCAAGGAGTTTAGCGGAGATGAGCTCAGTGAAAGGACAATTTATGATGGTGTGTGCAGGGTTAAGGGAACTTACCACTGATGGTGAGGCATAGAAAGAGTATGAACAGTGAGGGGCTATTATGATGACTACTCCTAACACTGAAAAGACAAAGGGAAAAAACAGTGTCATTGGCATCCAGTAAGTACTGCACATGTACAAGAGGGATTGCCTTACAGGAGCTGTTGCTTCAGGTAGCACAATGTAGTCTCTGCCCAAATGCAGTAAGGAGGGAGAGAGGGGAATGAACACCCATACCTCACTCTCTTTCCACTCTTTGATCTCCTGCCAGTGCCCATCATTAGCCAGATCCAGCCATACAGCAGCTGGAAAAGAAGCCTGTTGCTATAGTCAGTTGAGGTCAGACTCCTTTGGCACAGAGCATGGCAGGGAAGGGTGGAGAATGAAGCTTCGGGGTATGAGGGGCCGATGGAAAATAACATTTCAGTGAGTGCTCTTAGCCACCAGACAATGCCATTGCCTTATGCACTGCTTCCCAGGAAGTATATGCTTTGCTTTCCTCCATGGCCCAGATACCTAAACACACTGTGAAGTAATTGGACCCTGGAAAGGAGACTGAAGAGGAAGGGGGTCATTTGAAATAACACTTTAAATAACTATCACCTTGCAGGAGTTAGTTGCAGGTTGAATTAAGTTGGAATGTTTTCTCCTGTTTTCCAATGAAAGGAAAATGGATTTAAAAGAGATTATTTTTTTTCTGTGAAGAAACCAGGCCTGCAGGGGCTTATATTCAAAGACGGATCTAGCCCCATGTTCAATTCAAATTTAAATTCCTCCTTGCCTGTGTCTGGTTTCTTTCCTGCCAGGCCTTGTTTTTACATAGATGTCTGACAAGACTAGGTTCTTTTCCCCATGGCCTGGAGAAAACTTTTAGAAGCAAAATCTGTGTCTTGGGCTGCTATTGTACAGAAAGGAAGGAGAGCCCATGGGTCAGGTGGAGACTGAATGAGTGAGGTAAGAACCTAAAAGACTCTGCGGTTTGTCCCATGCCTGGCTGGCTGTCATGTTCCTTGCCTGGGCATGCAGGCTGAGTGCCTAACTATGGGCCCATTCTGACCCTGGAACCACTTAGATCTTGGGGAGGGGGAGAGAGGTGGGAAGTGATTCTTCTGGACTAACTCACAGTCCATTTAGTATTTCATAAGAGCCCATTTTGCAAGATACTCGTTTCAGAAAATAATGTCAGATGGGCAGCAACTACCCAGTTGGCATGCTTTTGTGTCTAGAGGATTGAAATTTCTACACCTGGGCTAGCAAGTGTTAAGTCACTGGGGTGTGTCTTCAGTGGTGCTGTCTCTCTAATGTCACACCTCATTACCTCTGCTCTCAGAGGAGAAGCTGCTTTCATTCACTTACAGCTGCTAGTGACTTCCAGGCAGTGGGTTCTGCCTTGCAGGAGCGTGTGACCTGAGCCAAGATGGAAATGTTCTGGTCTCTGGGAAAGGAGTTCTGGCTTATGTAAGAGTAGATGGCAATATTAAGTCTTGGCTGGATGAGAGAAAACCCCATGAGGATGAGGGAATGAGGAAGCTTCTGGGAAGCAGAGGCTTTATAAATTTGTCACATAAATTGTGCCAAGGAAAGGTCTAGCTCCTTCAATATGTGATGGGGACACTTTCTTCAGAGTCTGGCATTCGCTTTCTGTAGAAATATTCATATTAATTTAAAGTAGTTTCAAGATTGTATTTGGTCCCAAGGAAGCCTGGTGATGGGAAAAATGGAACTTTCAAGAAAACTAATACTCAATATATTTTGTAAAGGATGGAAGGCATCCTACTTGATGGCTTGAGGGGAAAGGTGTGCTATTTCTAGAACTCACAATCAATCTCTGGCCATACACAGTAAAGCTTTCTTAGTAGACAGCAGGCAGAGCCCCTCCAAAGAGTCATAGCCACCTTCTGTTCTTGGTTAAAGAGCATTTTCTGAGCTGGAGTGGGGCTGGAGTTGAAAGATATTTATTACTGGCCTCTCTCTCAGATGTAGAGAAATGCATTTTAAGCTTCATTTTTTTCATCTGCTTCTGAGATTTGGCTCTCCCAGGGTTGATCTCTTCTCTAAACTCATCAAAACCCCACTGAGTCCTCAAAGCTAACAGCAAATAAACAGTTGCTATGTGTGCACACAAATAATTTAGATTTTCATTATACAGAGCTGCTGATACATTAGGAGGCAGAAGTAGGGGGAGACAAAATGCTAGGTTTTGAATATGGCAACGCCGTATTCTCCTTCCTTCCCCTCCAGAAATGAGGCCCAGAAAATAGTACTTGGGAGTCAGGGGGTGGTGGGGTTGGGGGGCATCAGGGCCAGCCAGCATCCACATTGGCAAGACCCTGATGTTGGCTCCCTTTCATGTAGTATCTCTGCTACATGAAAGAGACATTAGAAGAGGTGGTAGAAACTATAGATGAGAATCAAAGCTGGTAGAAAGTTCAAGAGAGAAAAAGGGTAAATAAAGCGGTAAATACCAGAACCATTCCAGAGAAAGTGTCTCCTCCCACTGTAGCTTACTAGAATTTCATTTGGGGCAATTTGACTTTCTTTCCAAGATATCTCAGTATCTTCTGCACTAAAACATTGTCCTCCTAGGCAACACGGTAAAGTGAAGTCGGTCCAGGCTTTGGAGTCAGACAAATCAAGGTTTGAATTGCAGCTCAAACATTTATTAGCTGTGTGTCCTTGGGCAAGGCAGTTAACTGAGCTTACTAACATTCTAAGTTAACACTGGCTATTGGCTCCACAATTCTCAGCAACTATAGAAGGAGTTAATCATTCGGTGGCCCCATTCATTTTAATTTGCATTGATTATTCTAACACAGTGATTTTTAATCCTGGTGGACGTTAGAATCTGCTGGGAAGCTTTTACAAAATTTGATGCTTTTGTTCGTCCCAGTTCAACTGAGTCAGAATCTGTAGATGCCACTACACCATACCACCCTCTCTTTATTTTTGCCATCATCTACTGACCTCCTAGTCATCCCTCATTCATAAGGACTTTAGCACCTGGCTCAGTCTCTTCTCTATTTTTAAATCTTTCGTCCTTTTAGAAATTCCAACATCATGTGAACCAATCTTCCAATTTACTGGCCTCTAAACACTTTGACTTCTTTACCTCCAATAATATATTTTTTCTGCCCAACCTTTTTAGCTCCCACTCTTGACATCAACAATAAACACACAATCACTAAAGTCCTGATGTCAAATCTCCCATTCCTGACCAACGCTTCTTATTCTTTCATCTCATGTTTCTTAACATCCCCACTCTACCAACTATTTGACCCCATCCTAGTTACACAACTAGAGTCCCTAGTTTATCATAGTAATCACCCCTTGCATAAATGTTCCACTCTTTTCCCCTCTTTAATTCAGCCATATATTTATTAAAAAAAAAAAAAAACCCTAACCCTGGTTAAATGTAATAATTTCCCTGCTCAATGCTTACACCAAGTTCTCAACTATTTAGAGAGAAAAACTAGCTACCCTTGCACCTTTTCCTTGTCTATACTCACCCCCTTGGTGAGTTCATTCAATCTCACGGCTTTACATGTTATCTATACCCTTGCTACACAAAGGGTGGGCTATGGTCCAAAAGCATCAGTATCACATTGGGAATGTATTAGAAATGTAAAATCTTGGCTCCACTCCAGACCTACTGAATCAGAATCTGCATTTTTAACAAGATCCCTAAGTGATTCATTTGCATTAAAGTTTGAGAGGCACTGGTCTATACCAATGGTTATCATCTTTGATTGCAAACCAGAATCAGCTATGATTTGCTAGTGCCAATATCTACTTTCAGAAACTCTAATTTAATTGGTCTAGGGTAGGGTTTGGATATATATAAATTTTGTAAGCCATCATGTGATTTCAATCTTCAGCCTAGATTGACAACCACTGACTTAAGTACTGATGACTCCCAAGTTAATATCTCTAGGCCAAACGTCTCTGAACTTCAGGCTCAAATGTTCAACTACTTATTCCAAGTCTCTACTTGGATATCTAGTAGACTTGACAGAGTGTACATATCCATAACCAAGATCCAAATCTTCCGATCCTAAACCCATTCCTTGTAATCATCCCCATCTTACTAACTAAAGGGCACTATACTTACTGGGTTTTCCCTTCTACCTCCTTGGGTGGCCCTTCTCATCCTTTTTTTTGGATCATCTGCCTATGTTCAACCTCCCAGTGTTGAAATGATCCAGGGTACATAGCTCCTCTCGATATCTAGAATCTCCCCAGGTGATCTCATTTACATGCTGATGATACTCTGATTTAAACATAGTCATGTTGCTCACAATTAACCTGTGCAACAGGAAATTATTAGTTTTCTCCTCCAACCCCATCAGCACTTCTGCCAAAACCTCGGAATAATCTCTGATGTTTTTCCTTCCCTGGGCTGCTACCTCCAATCCATGTGCAAATCTTAACAAGTCTACTTCCAAAATATATTCGTTATCTACACACTTCTCTTATCTCTACTATTACAACCCTAAGACATTAATGACAAAAAAGTTTTAGCAAACTGAGACTAAAAAGGAATATTCTACTATGGTAACAGGTATCTAATAAGCCTCTAGCAAACATTGTACTAAAAAAAAAAATTAGGAACATTCTAGTTTAAAACAGAAAAAAAGGACAAAGATATTTCAGCTCACAATTGCAACAAAAAATATAGGGTAACTAAGACTAAATCTTACAAAAGATGCAGAAAAATTATAAAGCAACATGGGAAAAGACAAAAAGGATTCATAAATAGGTTTCATGAATGGAAAGACTTGAGATGTTTTTTAAAGCATGTCAGGTTTTTTTCAAAATGAATTTATAAATTCAACACCATTCCAATAAATATTCTGTCTTTTTTTAGTGTAAGTTTACATGCTCATCTTCACATTTGTGTTCAGATATAAAGACTTAAAGTTATAATCATTAACAAGTGTGGTAGTGACACAGAGATGAACAAATGGATAAATGGAACAGAATAGAGGATAAGAAACAGATTCATGATTATAAGGAAACTAGATAGATACGATAGAAATAGCATTATTAACCAATGAGGGAAGGATAGACAAATCCAACAAACGATAACATTTGGGAAATGAAATTATATCCCTAAAACACTCCATTTATAAGAATCTTAATTCCAGATGGATTAATGACCTAAATGTGAAACAATTCAAACTTTGAAAAGATAACTTAGAAAAATATTGTTTTGACTTTAATATAGAAAGAAACTTCTAAAAAAGACACAAAAGGCAAAGCCCATAAATCAAAAGAATGATGCACTTGACTACATTAAAATTTCAAAATGTCTGTTTAATGAAAAGGTCAGCTTGACTTTTCTGGTCCCCTTCTGTTGGGAGTGGGCCATGTGACTAGTTCTAGCTAGTGGGTTGTGAGCAGCAGTGATATGTGCCACTTCCAGGCTGAATTATTAGTATTTGCCAGTGTGAGCCCTTCCAGAGATCTCCTTTCCCTCTCCCATGGTGACACAAAATACTCTTGTTGAAAACAGCCTGGATCCTGGAGTGAGGAAGCAGTCCCAGCCAACTAATAGTGCACCTGTGATCAAAAAAGATACATTTGCTACTTTAAAAAGCCTCATTAATGAACAGTATCATAAGCAAAATGAAAGGGTAAGCCTCAGACTGGGAGAAAAATATTTGTAAAGGTATAGCTAATGAAGGATTAATATGAAAACAATTTAAAGAGTCACAAATCAATAAGGAAAACCTAAATAACTCAATAAAAATAAAACACAGGCAGAAGGTATGATTGAGTAATGAACTTAGGAGGAAACTTGATAGGACGCTTAACTACCTAAACTCAGGGAAATACAAATTAAAGTAACAAGAAGATACAATTTGCATCTGTAAGTTTGGTAAAAATGTAAAAGTCCATTTATAGCAAGTGTTGGAAAGAAATAAGAACTGTCATCATTGCTGGCTCAAATATAAATTGGCATAGACACTTTGGAGAAGAATTTGTCAATATCTTGTAAAGATGAAGATGTAGGTGTAAATGTAGTTTCTCCTTTATGAATTTGCTGTGGAGAAACTCTAGTACAACAGCAGACAAAGACATATACAATGATGACTGTCAATGTCATTGATATCTGGAATAGAAAATGTCAAATATTTACCAGTGGGAGAATGGAAAAATAAATTTGATATATTTACTTAATTAAAATGAATGACTTGGAGTCACATGTATGAATGCATCTCAAAATCATAATGTTGAGTGAGTAAAGCAAGTTGCAGAATGACTTCAGGGCATACCTTTTCCAAAAGTTTGAAAACATGTAAAACAATACTACATATTTGTTATGGAGTATATTTTTGTTCATCAAGTATTCATGCCTCCTCACACTACATCTTTTGCATCATTTGGAAGAGTATATTTTCCCAGTCTATTGATGCCTTGGCCATGAGATTCACTTTGTCCAGTAGAATATTTGGGTAGAACTGATAATGTAAGAATTCTGAGCCAAGGCCTTAAGAAGCATCATATTTTTGTTTTGTTTCTTTGGGAGTTTCTGACCTCCACAATGAGAAGCACATGTCACTTGAGACTATCCCTTCAGTTTCTAACTCAGAATGAAAATACATGAATCATTGCTGCCCCAGCTGACATAGAGACCTGGGAACAAGAGAGCAAACGCTTGTTGTTGTATGATACTAGGTTTGAAATACATGAAAAACTGAACTATGCAATGTTCATATGCCGGAACATATGTAATGTATGTGTATGTAATACAAACAGGAATAATAAACAGTAAATAATAAAATAATAAACAGTAAATTCAGGAGAGTGGTTATTTTTGAGGAAGGAAACAAGGAATCCTTATCCTTGTTTATTCTGTTTTATTTTTCTTCATAGCACATTTATTTATTGTTTCTCTCTCCTTCCCACTAAAATGTAAATTTTACAAAACCAAGCAACGAGCCTTATTTGTTGACTGCTCTGGTGCAGGCATCCTACTGGCACACAATAGGCACTCAGTAAACATTTGTTGAAAGAATGAGACTGTTTACTCATCTGTAGTAAGGACAACACTAATGGTCATGCAGGATTATACTGAAGGTTAAACAAGATTATACCTGGGAATATGCATCGTATTGAACCTGGCATCTACGCGCTCAATTATGTCAGTCTTTTTTCTTTTTCTTTTTCTATTCTGGATATGTGGTTTCTCTGTTGAACTGTCTCAGTAATGTACAGAGCACTTTGTAATGTGTAAGGTGTAGACAAGAAACTGTTTCTTAACTGTGTAATCTCTAACAAGTTATTTAACCTCTGTGTTCCTGATCTGTAGACTGAGGATAATAATACCCATCTTATATGTTAGTTGAGAGTATTAAATAGTGTAATGATATGAAGCACTTAACATGGGGCCTGACACATAGTAAATGCTCAATAAACATTAGTTATTATTACTGCTACAAAATAGACAGTTGCCTATGTGGTATCAGTTCAGGAATATTTGGCAGGCTGCTTTACTAAAATAATATCTTCCACACCAGCTTGTCATTTCCATATCTACTTTTATTACTATGGAGTTATTCTTTTGGTTTATGCCTTGTTCATTCCAGCTACTTCTTACAAGCTTCATTGGGGATATCCTCCCAATAGTTTCTTGTGCTTAATATTATGTGATATCTTATTTTCCTCTACTCCTGGACAGATGGGCAACATAAGGACCCCAGGCAAAGGTTTAGGAAGAGAAGTGAAGAAACACATTCCAGAGGCAACCTTGGGATATTTGCCCCTTTTCCTTAAGGATGGCTCTATTCAGAATTGCCTGTAGTCATCGCTCTGTGTCTCAGCAGGAGCTAACTCTCTAGCTTCTGTTCCTTATGATATAGGTGAGAGATTAGTAATCTATGATAACTGCTTTCTCTTAGGGTTCCCAAGTGTTCCATGTTCTGAGGACTATCTCCTGCTGTACTATCTTTTATGATGCATCATCTCTCCTATTTGTTGGGGACCTGCCAACTGAAACCATGCCCAAACTCACTATATAGATGCTGTTGGCAAGACTTCTTCTTGGGCCGGGGGATATTATCCTTAGCTCTCCTGATTATAAGGCTGCATTATTTAGCTCATGCCATATTTGATGGCTTTGTACTTAGGAATCCTTGAAGTATATTTGAAAATAATTGTGATCAACATGCAAACATGTACAAAAATTTCTGAAAATGTCCATAACTTGTTGGCTTTTTAAAAAACAACCTTCTTAACATATATTTTATACATCATAAAATTTACCTGTTTTAAGCATATGATCGAGTTATTCTCAGTATATTCATAGAGTTGTGCAACCATCACCACAATCCAGTTTTAAAACATTTATGATTGGATTCTGAATGTATTGCTTATACCAATAATCAGTAATCTTGTTGGGAATCCTGGAAAATGCCTAAAATTTAACTACATTGTTTTACAGAATATGTGGCCTCCAAAAAAATGATACAAATACATTTACATAGTATCAATACAATTTTACCATCAATCTTTTCATACAATTAAAAATGCATTTAATGACATATGGTGGGGGGATGTAGGAATCATGTAAAAAACTGACCAAATTGAATATTTCCATGAAGGTTAGAAACTACATTAGGATCAGTAACTGCTAACTGCCACAAAAGAAAACCAAAGTTTCATTAATCTCAACACAGCAAAAATTTATTTCACCAAGTTTAATGCAGATTGGTGGGAATTCTCTTCCAAGCAGGGACTTGGGGATTAAGGCTCCCTTCTTTCTGTGGTACCGCCATCTTCATATATAGCATCTAAGACCACAACGGGCAAAGATGAAGAACACCAGCTCTTAACCTCCTGGACCTAGAAGTGGTACACGTCACTCCCATTGGTCAGAACTAGCTTCATGGCCCCAACCTAACGGCAAGTTTGAGGAAGGTAGGTTAATGCATCAATCATTCAGTGAGCAATTTCTCAGCTATGTTGCTGTAGGAGCAAAGACGGAAAGCTTTCCCCTTCATCCTATGAAAGTTCACTGAAAATGAACTGACAATAGGCAAATTAATATGTAAAAAAGGCATACAGATTTAGTTAATGTGTGTAGCACAGGGGAATCACAGAATGAATACCCCATAACCCAATGGGGTACAGAAGCATATATACCCTTCTTCTTAGAGTAAGGGAAGATGACGGTTGTTGGAGTAAATGTTTTTTAGGGGGAATGAATGGACCCAGTGTTCAGACAATGGTTAGTAAATAATTATTTTGGGGAATTGAATGGGATTTGAGAACAGACAATAGTTTGGGACAAAGTTTGTCTGGGCTCTATTATAGGTGTGGTGTTTAATTTTCAGTTTCTTTCTCTATGACAGGAGTTTTAATCTTCTCTGGTTAATGAAATTTCAGGGAAGTGATTGAAGGCAATTGTATTCTTTTTTGGTGGTCCAGTTTTAAAGTAGATAAGGGGACATCAGAGAACAGCCTCATTCTGTGCTTTGGAAGAGATAGAAGATTGAGTGAAAGGGAAGCAGGGAAGGTCAGAGAATCTTTGAGGCTGCTTTTTCAGTTTAGCATGTCAAAGTGCCATACTTTGGGGTATTATTTATTGAGCCCCCAAAGTGGTCAAGCCTGTGATGCTTTATTCTTTTGCTCCTTCCTCAAGCGCTAAGAATGGCTGCTATATCTCACAATATTATCGTTTTATATTCTTCACTTCTAGAAATTAGATTCACTCTTGGTCATTTAAAATGTGCAGTTCTCATGTATGCCAGCAGTTAAAGTGAAATTTTTTAAAAATGAAATAAAATGTGCAGTTTCAGCTAGACTGCAATGTCATCTTTCACCAACAGGTGACACAAGTCAACATACTTGCCCTTCAGCCTGCAAAATCGTCATCTAAGATTGTTCTGCACAATAAAATGCTTATCAATTCAGTGAGATTAATTCTTTATAAAATTAATATATTTGTACCAACAGATATCATATGTTTATGAATCTTTAGATTGTCATCTATCAGTTAGCTCACTAAGTAACCAATGATTTTGGTCATTATTTGATGACCCTTATTTAGTGTCTGTGGTAAGTGTAATGAGGGGGTCTCTTTTTTTGTCCTCTAATCTTCTTTTCCTAAATCCTTGCCATACTCAATAACATATAACAAGAATGTACTCAAGGTCAAGAACCTAGACGTGAAAACTGTCAAAAAGGTCAGAAGACATGGGTTCCAAACCTGGCTCTGCCTCTAATTAACTGTATGATGTTGGGCAAGCCTCAACCTCTCTGAGTCTCTGCTTCTTTGTCTGAAAAAAATTATAAATTTTAATATCTGCTAATGAAAATGAGTGGTTAGTGTGGCCTTCAGAAAACAACCTTGTAGCCTCTGTTGCTAGCTAACTCTCCTTTCCTGCATTCCAGGGGTGTGTTAGTCCATTCTCACACTGCTATGAAGAAATACCTGAGATAAGGTTCTGCATAGCTGGGGAGGCCTCAGAAAACTTACAATTATGGCAGAAGGCACCTCTTCAGAGGGTGGCAGGAGAGAGAATGAGTGCTGAGCAAAGGGGAAAGCCCCTTATAAAACCATCAGATCTTGTGAGAGCTCACTCACCATCATGAGAACAGTGTGGGGGGAAACTGCCCTTATGATTCAGTTATCTCCATCTGGTCCTGCCTTTGACACATGGGGATTATTACAATTCAGAGTAAGATTTGGGTGGGGACACAGAGCGAAACCATATTATTCCACTTCTGGACCCTCCCAAATCTCATGTCCTCACATTTCAAAACAATCATGCCCTTCCTACAGTCTTCCAAAGTCTTAGCTCATTCCAGCATTAACCCAAAAGTCCAAGTCCAATGTCTTATCTGAGACAAGACAAATCCCTTCCACCTATGAGCCTGTAAAATTGAAAGCAAGTTAGTTACTTCCTAGATACAATGGAGGTACAGGCATTGGGTAAATACACCCATTCCAAATGGGAGAAATTGACCAAAACAAAGGGGCTACAGGGCCCATGCAAGTCTGAAATCCAATAGGGTAGTCATTAAACCTTAAAGTTCCAAAATGATCTCCTTCGATTCCATGTCTGACATCCAGGTCATGCTGATATAAGAGGTGGGCTCCCATGGCCTTGGGCAGCTTTGCCCCTATGGCTTTTCAGAGTACAGTCCTCTTCCCAGCTGCTTTCACGGGCTAATGTTGACTGCCTATGGTTTTTCCAGGTGCATGGTGCAAGATGTCAGTAGATCTACAATCCTGGGTTCTGGAGGATGGTGGCCCTCTTCTCACAGCTCTACTAAGCAGTGCCCCAGTGGGGACTCTGTGTGGGGGCTCCAACCTCACATTGCCCTTCCATACTGCCCTAGCAGAGGTTCTCCATGAAGGCTCTGCCTATGCAGCAAACTTCTCTGCCTGGACATCCAGGCGTTTCCATACATCCTCTGAAATCTAGGCAGAGGTTCCCAAAACTTAATTATTGACTTTTGTGTACCCATAGGCCTAACACCACATGTAAGTTGCCAAGGCATGGGGCTTGCACCCTCTAAAGCAATGGCCTGAGCTGTATCTTGACTCCTTTTAGCCATAGCACTGGAGATGAGGGAGCTGGGACACAGGGTACCATGTCCCAAGGCTGCATAGAGCAGGGGGGCCCTGGGCCTGACACATGAAACCATTTTTCCCTCCTAGACCTCCAAGCCTGTGATGGAAGGGGCTGCTGGGAAGGTCTCTGACATGCTGTGGAGACATTTTCCCCAATGTGTTGGTGGTTGACATTTGGCTCCTCATTACTTATGCAAATTTCTGCAGCTGGCTTGAG